TTTCACAGCACGTAATAACATTTTTCATACTCTTTCTTTCCCTTTGGGTGTTCTTGTTGTCTCTGTCGGAGTTGTTACCTATCAATATCTTTCATATTTTACCATACATTATGATTCATTTCAATATTCAATTAAGATTAGAAGTTGTGTATTAGTATAAATAGAAGAAGTGAATTGTGATTCATAGGCAGTAAGAAATTGCTTCACACTAGATATCAATACTATGTTGTTTCATCTGAATCTGTTCTCTCATTCCCCCCACCAATACCCTAACCTATATAATTTCAACAAAGATAAACATGATAAAAAGATTTGAACACATGACTAAACACCTGATGATTCCAGGCTGCTTCAACTAAATGAGTACCATATTCTTCGAGCATTTCATACAAAAGCACAAATGCGTCCCAATACTGCTTGTTGTTAATAATCAGGTCGTGTATCATCAAAAGGTTACCAACGCCAAGTGACTTGGCTTCCTTGTAAGCCCATTTTTCCCTCTTTGTCACACCATGATGCTTTTCATTTGTATTCTTTTTTGAAATGCTAGGCACAGAATCTGTTCCTCCTTGTATATTGAGAGCCATCTTCAATACATGTAAACTCTGTTTCCTCACTATACTCTCCTTGTCAACCTGATCAGATTTAGTTTGATTCCTAAGTAAGCAAACAATGACAAGTTAAATAAACCCACAGAAAATCATGAAACAGTGCTTGAGTACCAGCCCTATTTTTATTTCATTCCAGAACTCTTTTTCTGCTCTTATGTCAAATTCTTCAGTTATAACGACTGTATCACGATCATCACGTTCACATTCTTCTATGGACCAGGAAAAAGAGAAATACAATGATAGAATATTATATGCCTCTCTTCTCTCTAAAGGTCCAATTGAAAACAGTGTTCTGCAGCAGCTCCATATTTTGATGAAGAAATAGTCCCTGAAAACCATTAATATTAATATACAAGATACATATATAAACAGATGAAAAATGCATACAAATCAGATGAACATTACCGAGAAAACTCATGTCTCTGCCCATGAATTGAGATTTCAAATGAGTAAATGGCAGGTAATGCTTTAACAATGATAGGAAGCAGCAGGCCCACTGCACAAGACCTGTGCTCGGGACTATGTAAAAGCATCCGTTCAATCAAATTGCATAGTTCCCAAATCAAAACTTGAACAAAATTATCCTCAATGCACCCTTTTCTTTCCACTGATTTAGAGATTGTATCTGTTAGCATATACTGAAGGGCAGCTTCCAGAATTACAGACAGAACATTGCATGATGTTGACAATTCGAAACTATTTGACCGACACAGAAACACCTCCTTATCCATCAGTGGATCAATCATGACATCATTCAAGTCTTGATGAGATGAATCGGTACTCCATTCATAAAAGTCCAAATCATCATTATGAAGCATACCCATGGAAAGACCAACTGATTTTAAGAAAATTGGCACCAAATTTTCTTCAAGAATTTCCCACGTGCAAGTTTCAATCACTACGCCGATTAACGATTCTGTGATCTGTCATCAAAATGATGCACACATCCAAGAACGATAAATGCAAACCACAAAAAACAAAATTAGTTAAAAGTTCTCCAATAATTACAAATAAAACAAAATTGTTTGCCTACTTCTCTAATAATACCTGATTAAGTAAGTCAAGCTGCAAGGGTCGTAGCACCTTAGCTAAAGGAAGAAAACATCTCCGCACAAACAATCCTACAGCATCACAACCAGTCCCTGTAAAGAAATATATTAGATAGAAGAATATGAAGGGTAATGTGACAGCCGCAAATGCTCCATTCAGCATAGCCTCCTACTTTCGACTTCCAGACCAAAAACAGAGCAAAACACATACAAAATTTGAAAACATAATCTAAACGTTCAAGATAAAAAGAATAAACAAAAAAAAAAGGCATTAGACAAAATGGTTAATTGGTAACTCACCCGTTTTCTTCAAAAGATGGCAAAACGCGCCCACCAGCGACACAAGGTAGGGGCGTTTATCAGCATCAAGATCATCACCTTCCTTGATAAGATCCTGTTAAAATTCATCAAATAAAACAGAAATGTGAACAACAAAATAAGTGAGAGAAATAGAGGTTAAATGCATGAGAAGAATTAGTGGTACCTTGAGAGTTCGAGGGAAATCATTGAGAAGGGAAGCGAAGAGTGACAAGGGAGACAAACCAGTAGACACCATAATGCAATCCAGCATTGGAGGAACCGCAGGCAGAGGCACCTGATAGAAGCTTTTGGATAGGGAAGCAACCACAGAAGCCATGGAACCTGCCTCTGCTTCTGCTTCAGACATTGTAACACTCTTCTTGAATTGGATGGGCGGTAAAACCCTAATTATCAGCTGCTAAACCCTAAAAACGTCATGGTTTGCCAACGTGATCCGCCAATTTTTGGCGCCCTGTCTACTGTCATTAAATTAAATTAAAAGGATTAAAGCAGTAAACATTTAGTAAAATTTTAAATATGAGTAATAAGCATCTTAGCAAGAAATAACTCCTGGATATTTATTTCATTGGTAAGTGAGTCTTTGTCTCTTTACATTAAATAGTTAGTTGGATATCTTGTCTTTAAATTAAAATGTCCATAAATAAATATGAACT